GCTGAGGATTTGTTTGAGAGACCCCTTGAGAGTCTCTTCGTTGCCCTCGACTGCACCTTCCCTTGTATGTTTGCTGCTGCTGCTGCTGCTGTTGTTGTTGCTGCTGCTGCTGTTGCTCCTGTTGCTGCTCCTTATTCTGGGTGCTGCTGTTGCTGCTGCGCCTGCTGCTGCCGTTGCTGCTGCTGCTGTTGCTGCTGCTGCCGTTGCTGCACTGTCGCTGTACGCCTGGAGCAGCTCGTTCACAAGCTGCACCAGCAGCAGCTCGAGTTAGGTGCTGCTGCTGCCTTGAATCGCTGCAGCAGCCCGCTTCAGGTGCTGCTGCTGTTGCTGCTGTTGCTCTTGGGGTGTACAGACAACTCAACTGACGCTGCAGCAGAAGCTATTCTTGCTGCTGCTATTGCTGCAGTTCAAGCGGTCCTCACTCAGTCAGTCCCTCAGGTATGCAGCAGCAGCAAATGCAGCAGCAGCAGCAGCAACAACAACAGCAGCAGCGGCAAACGCAGCAGCAACAGCAAATGCAGCAGCAGCAGCAGCTAATGCTGCCCGTACAACGCTGCTCTGCTGTTGCTGCTGTTAGTTTTATTCAGAGCAGCAAAAAATAAAATGAGGCCTACATTTCTCTTGCTGCTGCTGCTGCTGCTGTCTTCTATTTGCTGCTGCTGCTGCTGATTTCTATTTGCTGCTGCAGACGGAAGCAGCTGTTGCTTGTAGAGCTGCTGCCATCCGCCTCCTTCGCAAGGCCCATGATTCGCTGCAGAAGTAAGTTGCTGCTGTTGCTGCTGCTGCTGCTGCTTGTGCTGCTGCTGCTGCTGCTTGTGCTGCTGCTGCTGTTGCTGTTGCTTCTTCGTTTTTGCTGTTAGCCACTTTGTTGGTGATGGTTTTGCTGCTGCTGCTCCTGTTGCTGTTGCTGCTGCTGCTGTTGCAGCTGCTCCTGCTGCTGCTGCTGCTTGGTCCGCTACAGCTGCTGCTGTTGTAGGCTCTACTGCACAATTGTGTTGCTGCTGCTGTCGCTACATTGTGCTGCTGCTGCTGCTGCATTATGTCGTCGCTGCTGCTGCCTTGTGCTGCTGTTTTTGCTGCTGCAGCACGGATTCTCTTCAGGCTGCTGTTGGTTTGCTGGCGTCTCAGCTGTCGCTGCCAGCAGCAGCAGCAGCAGCAGCAGGAGGTGCAGCATCACGAACTGCAGCAGCAGAACTGCTGCGTAATAAAGCAGCAGCAGCACTTGAAGACATCTGCAGATACTCCCGAGCGCCAATTCACCCGCAGGCAATCCAACATCTTGCTGCAAGTCAGTTGCTGCTGCTGCTGCTGCTGCTGCTGTTGCTGCTGTTATTGCTGCTGCTGTTGATGGTGAAGGGAGCCGATTGCCTAGGGTTTAGGGGTAGGGCTCAGGGTTTAGGGTGTAGGGTTTAGGGTTTAGGGTTTAGGGTTTAGGGTTTTGTTTGCTGCTTCAGTTGCTGATAACCTTTCCGCGGATCGGTCGGGCGAGAAGGCAAGCTGCTGCTACTGCTGTTGCTGCTGCTGCTGCTGCTGCTGTCTCCTATTTTCTACTGCTGCTTCGCTGGCTGGCGGTGCCTTCGTTTATTTTGGAGCGCTGCTGCTGCTGTTGCTGTTGCTGTTGCTGCTGCTGTTGCTGCTGCTGTTGCAGTTGCTGCTGCGGCTGGCGGCTCAGCGGCGGTCTCTAGGTAAAGGGTGCGGCATTCCTTAAGGGTTTAGGGTTTAGGGTTTAGGGTTTAGGGTTTAGGGTTTGTTGTGTTTAGGCCTATTGGTTGGTGCTGGAGGCGGTTTGTTCGCTTGTGGGGCGGCTTGAAGACGGAAGCTTAATGCTGGCTGTCAGTTTGCTTCTTTTTTGTCTCTTGTTGCTGCTGCTGTTGCTGCTGTTGCTGCTGTTGCTGCTGCTGCTGCTGCTGCTGCTGCTGTTGCTGCAGCTGTTGCTGCTGCTGCTGCTGGTGTTGGAGTCGCTGTTTGCGTTGCTTCCGCTGCGAGTCTGTCCCTGGTGTTGCTGCTGGCGGTTTCCTGCTGCTGCTGCTGCTGTTTCTGCTGCTGCTGCTGCTGCTGCTGCAGAAGACATTTGCTGCTGCAGCGTTGCGGTGTATGTGCAGATGCTGGAGAGCCTTTGCAGGCCTTCAATTGCTGCTATAGAGGAAGCACTTGCTGCTGGGCAGCAGCAGCTGCAGCAGCAGCAGCTGCAGAGTCTCTGCACCAAACTTGACTCCCTCGCCATCGTCCTCAGGTAGCCTGCTGCTGCTGCTGCACGTGTTGCTGCTGCTGCTGCTGCACGTGTTCCTGCTGCTGCTGCTGCCGCTGCTGCACGTGTTGTTGTTGCTGCTGCTGCAAGTGTTGCTGCTGGTGGTGGCGCTGCTGCACGTGTTGCTGCTGCTGCTTCTGCTGCTGTCGCACGTGCTGTTGTTGCTGCTGCTGCTGGCTGCTGCTCCCGCTGCTGCTGCAAGAGTTGCACTGTAGCAGCAGCAACTGCTGCTGCTGCTGCAGCACCTGGTGATGACATTTTTGCTGCATTCTCTTGTGCTTGTGCTGCTGCTGCTGCTGCTGCTGCTGCTGCTGCTGCTGCTGTTTAGGGACACCTCATCGGGGGTGAAAGAGGAGCCTCAGCGTTTATCTGCTGTTCAAGCATTTGTCTGCAACACCTTGTGGCTGCTGCTGCAGCAGCTGCTGCGGCAGCAGCAGCGCAGCGCTGCTATTGTTGAGCGCTCTCTACGCTGTATGAAGCATGCTGTTAGAATTGCTGGCGATGCATTTAAACCTCATGTTCTTTCTTTCTTGCAAATCTTGCAAACCAACGCCCAGGTAGGGTTTAGGGTTTAGGGTTTAGGGTTTAGGGTTTAGGGTTTAGGGTTTAGGGGCTTCAGATGCGGGTTGCAGCCGGTAGCTTTTCCCCCTTAGGGTTTATGGTTTATGGTTAAGGGTTTAAGTTTTAGGGTTTAATGTTTACGGCTTAAGGTTTAAGGTTTATGATTTAGGGTTTAGGGTTTAGGGTTTAGGGTTTAGGGTTTGTGGTTTGTTCAGGTGCACGTACACTCTACCTATTTATACGCAGCAGAGTGGATGTCTGTCTCCTTTGGCGGCGAAAATATTGCAGTGCAGCAAACCCTCGCTGCTTTAATTCAGGAGTTAGCCACTGCAGGCTTCAAAACCATTCAGAATAACGTGAGGGTTTAGGGTTTAGGGTTTAGGGTTTAGGGTTTAGGGTTTAGGGTTTAGGGTTTGGGGGAAAAGCATACGTGAGTGCTAATGATGTAAGACAAGAGCGCTTCTGAGTTAAGTGTTCAGTGTTCAGTACCTAGGCTTTAGGGTTTAGGGTTTAGGGTTTAGGGTTTAGGGTTTAGGGTTTAGGGTTTATGTTCAGGGAGGAGGCGAAGAGAGCGCTGAGATGATTGAAGATTGCTTCGGCATGCTGAGTCGCCTCTTAAGGCGCTGCCCCAACGTTGCTGCGTTTGTCCCTTCGGTTCTTAGACAAGTTAGCTAGTCTGCTGCTGCTCCTGCTGCTCCTGCTGTTGCTGCTGCTGCTGCTGTTGCTGTTGCTGCTACTGCTGATGGTGGTCCTGCTGTTGCTGCTGCTGGTGGTGCTGCTGTTGCTGCTGCTGCTGATGGTGGTGCTGCTGTTGCTGCTGCTGCTGATGGTGGTGGTGCTGCTGATGGTGATGGTGCTGCTGCTCTTGCTGCTGCTGTTGCTGCTGATGGCGGTGCTGCTGCTCTTGCTGCTGCTGCTAATGGTTGTGCTGCTGCTGTTGTGTTGCTTTTGCTGCTGCTGTTTTTGCTGTTGGTGTTGCTGCTGCTGTTGTTGCTGCTAATGCTGTTGCTGTTGCTGCCGGCTCTACTTTTATTTATTTATTTATTTTTTATTTATTTATTTGTTTGTTTGTTTTAGGGTTTAGAGAACTGCAGCTTGTGCATGCAAGTGAATACACCTGAAGCAATTAAATTGGTCTTCGTCTTCATGGAGAGTATTGTGCATGCAGCCAGCAAGTCTAAACCCTAAACCCTAAACCCTAAACCCTAAATGTTCTATTGTCTAAGCGTTTAGCCCTTAAATGACAGACTCTAGCTGTGAGACTCTAAACCCTAAACCACAAACCCTAAACCCTAATTCTTAAACCCTTGACCCTAATAAAACCCTAATTTGAAAACCCTAAACCCTAATTTGAAAACCCTAAACCCTAAACCCTAAACCCTAACTGGTAACAGAGTAAAGTTCACGGTTTAGGGTTTAGGGTTTAATGGGTTTAGAAGGAGACAATTGCTTTGTTTTATTTATGTTTATTTATTTTTATTTATTTTTTGTTTATAGAGGAGTCAGCTCAGCCGCAGCTGCAAATGACAGCAGCACAACTTGCAGCAGAGGTAAATAAAACAAAAAGAGTTTTGTTTTTGTCTCTTTATTTGTCTCTCTGTTTGTCTCTCTGTTTGTCTCTTTAATTGTCTCTTTGTTTGTCTCTCATTGTCTCCTTTTGTCTCTCTTATTGTCTCTCTCTTAGTCTATTTATCTGTCTCTCAATTTGTCTCTCTGTCTGTCTCTTTATCTGTCTCTTTATCTGTCTCTCAATTCGTCTCTCTTTGTCTCTTTAATTGTCTCTTTATCTGTCTCTTTAATTGTCTCTTTATTTGTCTCTTTAATTGTCTCTTTAATTAACTCTTTAATGGTCTCTTTAATTGTCTCTTTAAGTGTCTCTTTATTTGTCTCTTTAATTGTCTCTTTAATTAACTCTTTAATTGTCTCTTTAATTAACTCTTTAATTGTCTCTTTAATTGTCTCTTTAATTAACTCTTTAATTAACTCTTTAATTGTCTCTTTAATTGTCTCTTTAATTAACTCTTTAATTGTCTCTTTGTTTGTCTCTTTAATTGTCTCTTTAATTAACTCTTTATTTGTCTCTTTAATTGTCTCTTTAATTGTCTCCTTTTGTCTTTGTTTGTTTTTATCTGTTTATTATTATTTTTATTTATCTTTATTTATTTATCGCTGTCTCCTTTTGTCTTTTATTTATCTCTCTTTGTAAAAATAAGTAAATATATATATATATATAAATAGACATATATATAAATATAAATAAACAAATACTAAATAAATAACTATAAATATATTTATTTATTTATTTATTTATAAATATATTTATTTATATTTATTTATTTGTTTCTTAGTTTCTACCTGGCTTGGTTTGTCGAGTATTTTTGCTGCTAACTTCGGGGGCATCGCCTTTAAAAGTTTATTTGATTCAGGTACTTCATTTATTATATTTATTATTTATTATTTATTTATTATTTATTATTTATTTATTATTTATTTATTTATTTATTTTGTTTATTTGTTTATTTGTTTATTTATTTATTTATTTATTTACGTATTTAGTTGCGTATTAATTTTTTATTTTGGTGTTTATTTAATTTAAAATTATTTATTTATTTATTTATTTATTTAATTTATTTATTTGATTTGTTTATTTAGTTATATATTTTATTTATTTATTTTGTTTGTTCGTTTATTTATTTATTTTTGTTTTGTTTGTTTATTTGTTTGTTTTGTCTGTCTCCGCATTTATTTATTTTATTTTTTTGTTTATTTCTTTTTTTTATTTGCTGATTTATTGCTAATATATATACATATATTTATACATATATTTTTATTTATATTTATATATTTATATTTATACTTATATTTATATTTATATATTTATATTTATAT